TAGAATCCTAAGATTATGTTCAAAATTAGTTAATCTGGAAAGAAATTTATACACATTTCATTTATCTTTTTTTTTTCATTACATTTTTTACATACATGTAGATTGAAATTAGGGTCATTGTTAATTGAACAGCATGTTTAATGATGTGTAACACTGATACGTTTACCCAAATAACATGCATGATTGAATTTTTGCCCAAAAGCGATTGAAACCGCAGGTGTTTATACCATTTTATTTATACACATTATAAGCCAGGTAAACAAAACCAAAACAAAAAAGAAATAAATCACAATTACCGGTTTTTTCAACTGTTTATCTATTTGTTTTTTTAAATGTACTCTTTTAATAACTTATTTATAAATTAAAAACTAATTCAACTGTAAATTCCTGTATAATTGTTCACATTGCTTATGTTACGGAAGAATGGTGGCATAATTTTATTTTATGCCATAAAATAAATTGTTAGATTTTTATTTGAGGGTTGCATGGAATACTCTTTTAGTGTGGTACTTGTAAAAACGTGTAGCCTTTTCAATTAAAAAATCCTATATGATCTAAATGTAATGATTTTTTAAATAGTGCCAAATGCAAATTTTGAGGATTTAATTTTAGATTAAATAATAAAAGAAACCTTCTTGATATTTTTTTTCTAATGAGCCTGTAGTTTATTTTAGAAATAGAAATTTCCTCCTGACCTCCTTATTTAACAACTTTTATTTTTTAAAATATTCTTTTAATATTACATTTGTGTAAATATACAGTCCCTAAAACTATAAATTAACTATAATACATGTAATCTCAAGTTATTAAAAGATTGCAAGAAATCCTTGCTTTTTTAATAATTTAAACTCCTCTCTGCTGCAAGTAAACAAAACAACTGGGAGCCTGCAAATTCAGAATACACAAGGGGGCGGAGCTATCATGTCACTCAGAACCTCTTTCACACATAAGTGAACAAAGCAGTCCCAGAGAGCGGTCCCAGGAACAGCTGGGACTGCTGGGTCTGCTTTCTATAGCATCCCAGAGCAGTCCCATAGCGGTCCCAGAGCAGTCCCACAGCAGTACCAAAGCAGTCCTGGGGACTGCTTTCTGGGACTACTTTGGTGTCAGGTTGGGTCTGGTCGATACTGTAACTTGTTAAAACATACATGTTATTTGCATTTAATATAGTTCAATGATCCTTTTTTTTACTGAACAGATTGCAAAATGTCAATATATTCAAGGGAATATGGAATCAAGAAGGAAAAATCCTAAAAAAGGAATATGGGCGTAAATTGTCAGTAGACGAAGTTTTTAACCATCTATGGCGAAACGTTGTTGAAGACTTCTGGGAGCCAACAGTTGATGGACTAAAAAAAGGAAAGATTGAATACCAGACCATACAACGCTATTTTGGAGTTTATAGTATTTCAGAAATACAAAAAATGCTAGAGAGCATTCCCAACCATGATGAAAATGATAGAGGTTGGATTTCCGAACGTTTGAAACAGATAGAAGATCATCGTTTTCTTGAAAGATCTCTGGCTGCTGCCGAGGCTATTTCATCTCTTGTTAAAACTTATAAGCTTCAAGGAGATTTTACTTCTGTGCAAAACATTATACAGAAAGTAAGTTTTAAAGGGTTATGGATGATGTCTGTCTGTTTATCTGTCCGTCTGTATGTATGAAACTTTTTTTCTCATGCAGATAAAGATTGAAAAGAACATGCAGGTAGTAGAAGAGTCTTTGAAAAACATTTGTACAGATTTTCAGAGTATTGACGACAGGAAACTGGATTGCTTACAAGCTTTCATCGAATGTAACCAACTTGTTTTTTGGATAAAAAAGTCAATGAAAGGTAAATGAAAATACCATGGAATCAAAATTTGTCTCGGGCTATTTTTTTTAATAATTGTTCATTTTAATAGGATTCCGGGTTAATAGTGATTATGTGTATGAACTCATGTCCAAAGCGAAAGTTAGCTCTGGGAAAAGTATGTGTTTTACTGATTACATTGACAAGACTAATTCGCTGCACTTATATGATTTCTTTGTCATTCTAGGAATTGTAGTTTCAGTCGTTGCAAGGACTAAACATTATTTTAGTATGATAATTAATAAGATATCTTTTAATATTTTATCATGATGTATTTAAGTCGTGCTTATTCACATTTTGAATTTTTAAAAAAATGAAGATAACGAACAGTATTGAATTTGAAACGTTCATTATACAATACAAATATTGGAGTAAAAGGAACACATACCTCTAAAGCACTTGGGGTAGGATAAGGTGTCATGGAGTAGTGAGCAATCCTTCCGACCGGTTATACCCGCTGCGTATTTCTTCTCATGAACAAGAAATAACGGAAAAAATTGTCAACAATGTGGGAACAATGGCTAAACAATCAGTATGAAAAAAGACAAAATTTTGCTTTTAAACGCTACCGCTGATATTCCTATTTCATCAAATTGTTTGTAAATATTTAAATTTGAATAAGAAAATGTTCATACTTAGAGCATGCTCTTCTGTATCGGATCAATTGAGATATATAAACCCTGTTTGCAGGTTAATAATGAATATATCGCTGCATTATTTATGGAAGTAAACCATTGAAAAGTTAAACCTTCGTTAATCATGAAGCTTGTTTGTTAGATTATAGGTTACGTCTTTTCTTTTTACAAAAATATCTAAAGACGAAACAGATTCGTAAGACGTAAAAACTCCATATTTTGGAAGACTGACCGAATTTTTTTCAGAGGTACCTTCCCAAGTTATTATAAACCCTTTGTTTAACAAACCTGAATATCTGATGAATATTTTTAAGTACAGGGTACACTTAAAAAATCTGCGCCATAGTTCCGACACCATTAAAATATAAGTCCAACAGTAAGGTCTTCGTTGTCTGTACGTTAAAAAAATACGATTTTTTAAGCAAATAAACTTCTAAACCTCAAAATTATGTACCTTTTTTCAGTTTCAATTGCTAAACTATCAATTTGCCCTAATTACCCCCCCCCTCCCATTGTTTCCCTTGCACAATCAATTATCTTCTTGACCTCGCTGGGCACATGAAGCGCTTTTTTCACACCTCACAATAATTACAAAGCAAATTTTAGACATCAAATTAGTTCATGATTAAATAGTTCTACAGTTAATCATGTCTCTAACATTACGCTTGCAAGTGAAAACATCGTATGTGTCTTACATGTATGTGACCTACCAAAAATTCCTCTGACTATCTTGAATGAACACTATATGACTTTGTGTATATTTACCTTTTGAAAACAATCTTTTGTTAAATTAGGGATAAATAAATTGAAACATATTATTACTGATACTTTTCTCAGATTGTATAAGCAAATATGTATTTAGTTAGTACATTTTCTTATGTGTGTTTAGGAAGGAGGGAGGGGGATGTAACAGTATTGAGAAAGTAATTTAATTTTATTTCTGCAATATGTAATATTCGTGTATATTTTTTAAAGCATTATTTTTAAATTCATCCAGCATTTTACAAAATAATTAATGTTTTTTGTTTTTGAATATTGATTTATATGTCCTACATGTGATAGATTGATTGATTGATTGTATACTGTTTAACGTCCCTCTCCAGAATATTTCACTGATATGATGACGTCACCATTGCCGGTGAAGGGCTGCAAATTTAGGCCTATGCTCGGCACTTACGACCTTTGAGCAGGGAGGAATCTTTATCGTGCCACACCTGCTGTGACACGGGGCTTCGGTTTATACGGTCTCATCCGAAGGACCGCCCCATTTAGTCGCCTTTTACGACAAGCAAGGGGGTACTGAGGACCTATTCTAACCTGGATCCCCATGGAGCTACATGTGATAGAAGAAACACACGTATGACATGTGCAGTGCGTTTTTTAATTTATTCGCAGATTCCTTCGATAATTTGTCGCGAAATGGCCGCGAATATTAATACTTCGCGCCACAATTAAAGATTTCTTTGAAATGATGGAGAACCCTGAAGTACACAAGTCCAAAAGATATGCAGATGTCGAATCTTTATTTCATTTGAAACCATAATACAAACCTGAAGATTGTCTCCTTTATATTTCAAGATCTGAAACTGGTCATTCTAAAACCATTTATTCACTTGAATCTGAAAAGTAAATTCTATTTGAAAATGGTTTTGTTTGAAATTATCTGTCAACTTTTACAAATAAACTCTCTTTCTTTCTATTTCTCTATCTTTTTTGTCGCCCACGTGACAAAGTTGGTAGAACGTTTGCTTTAGAATCGCGTAGTAAGGAGTTGGAATCCCACTGTGGGTCGTGGGGGCTTGTCCTTCGGATGATACCGTATAAACTGAGGTCCCGTTTAGCAATAGGTGCTGGCACGAAAAAACCCTACTGCTCAATAGTTAAAAGTGCCGAGCTCGAGTACAAATAGAAAATTTTGTAGCCCTCCGCTAGCAATAAACAATTACTTTCTCTTTCTCTTGGTTGCCGAGGCCATTGCTGTGAATTTGGAAACTTTTTTTACTTGAAATAAATTTTACTACATGTAGTAACCTGTTTTAACGTTATAGTTAGGACTTCAATGCGTTGATATTTTTAGTGTTAATGACGTAAATTTTTGTATAAGGCCTACCTACGTAATTCACTAAAAATATACTCCTACGAACAATGATTATATCAACAGTATTTAAAAATTTATGTGTTCGTTGATGATAAAGATATCTTAATAAAATAGTTTTGAAAAATGCTTCTAATTTACTTGACGTAATTGTGCAAGACAATTTGTACTTCTTTTCTTGCAGATGTAAAAGAACTGAAGGTGTTTGTAGATCTGGCAAGTATATCTGCTGGAGAAGGAGATATGGAAGTCGCAAAAGTCAAATGTCTCCACGCTGCAACAACTGGATATGCTCCCTTAATATTCAATTTGGAAAAGATTAATGATTATGATTTACTTTTTAAGTTCTGTGCAGAGGTATGGAAAGAAATGGACGCAGACATGACGCTACCTGAAAAACTGGTAAAGAAAACACATAATTTTGCATTTATGATAGTTTCAATCAACAACATCACAAAGATATTTTTAAGAATAAAAAGTATATTTTTATAATCAGTCTTGATTTACTTTACTTTAACGCTAAAAGATATAAAAAAAAACAAAAACAAAAAATTATTTAAATATAGTATTAGGATAAACTTAAATTAAATATAGAATTAGGATATACTTAAAACACGATTTCAAATTGAATTCCATTTGACAATGGACAATATACATTTGTCCATTGTCTACATGATTCTGATACAAACATAAAGTACGGGAAAATTCAGCTTAAACCTCTTTTGAATTCTTAACTTTTGAATTCATAATGGATTTAGCACCAAAGCGACGGTCTAAAATCATGTACTAGATCCTTATATCAATAAATTTTCTCTTATTATAGATTATCTAGCAAAGGTTTGTTGTCTTTTTTATTTTTAAAAACCGAATTGTCGAAAAGTACTCGATTAATGTCAACCAAACCATTACTAGTGATTACTAATGAACATCATATTTGAATGACATATTCATATTTGACACAATATACCACAAATAATAACATCCCATCCATTTATACACAAAATTTTGGGGGCCACTGATCTTTGAAAAATATTTTTTAAGTCGGTGTATTGTAAAGTCACTAATTTTCATGGGATTATAATTTTCGATGTATGAAAAGACCCACGAATTTTTTTTTTACCAAACGAAATCAAATTTTTCATATACACTGTATATCAATATATTACTACTACACTTTTCTTTAATCACAGAATTGAATCCCCATGAACCAGTAAATTTTCCTTGAACCACGAAAATTTGTGATTTTACAGTATTATTCAAAACACAATTTCATCTCCAAATAATTACTATGAGAAGGATTTTATTTTAACTTATGTCTTTAAAGTCATGCTTTAAATGATTTATTGAACTAACGAAAATGACATTGCATTTGTCCATGATGTAGAGGGGTACGAACAAACATTTTGAATGGCTTGAGAGTGTTAAAAAGGCACAGGGGGCAGTCGAAATTACATCAATGAAGCAGGTTGAAGATATCAACGAGAGAGGAACATACGTCATAGGAAGGATAAACGAGAATGCGCATGCTAAAATTTTGGTAATCTAGCATTTATTTAGTATTTTCATAATATTCTTTCATCATTTTGGATGCTTTCAAAAAGTTGTTTCTTATATATATAATTAAGAACAAAAAAAATGCAGAACATAAGTTTAATAAATGTGCATTTATATATCGGTTGTAATTTGCTTTAGAAAATTGACGATGTTCTTGAACTTCATATAACTAAAGAGGATGGAAATAAAGAATTGTTGTCTTTCAAAGAACTACAAGAACTCCAGGGAAAACTAATGCTTGTTGCCGGTAAAGCAGAGCATGGAAAAGATGAAGTCGAACGATTTATTATGGTTATTATGTCCCTTTAACACTAATATTTATATAAGAATATTTTCTTCCATTCATTATTTTATTTCATGCTTTCCTTGGATTGAAATTACAAGATTTAGAAATGAACAAAAGCTATGGTTGTATGATTGTTTTAAAAAAGTGTTCATTTCACATAGGGATGTCAAATCTGTCAATTCTTAATACTCGGTTACTCGGGCGTTTTTCCGATCGAGTACCCGCGTACTCGGTAAAAGTCTAAATAAATATGAACAAGTAAATTGATAAATGTAAAACACTGAAATAAAACCACATGGTCTGATGGGAGGTTTACCTGTAAATGTGTTGTAACAATTATGACAACTTTGTGCCCGACGAAATTTAATCTAACATTTTTTAAATCCAATTCATTTATCAGATAAATACGAGAATAAAATCAGAAATGGTTCACAGTGTTTTGTTTAAAAAAAAAATATATATAATCTGTTCCCTAATTGTAATGTAAGTCTTTGATGCGTTTGCCGTCCAAGTGATAAGTCGTCAGAGCTACATGTACAGTATCAACTTGATCAAGTTCTAATAGAGCGGATTTACGATCTTCGTACACTTTTCGATCATTGATTTCATTAAAATTACGAGGCGGTATGTTGTAGTTTGGTGCAACGATGGACATTAGATTTCTAAAACCATTTGCATTAATTGGCACGTAATCAAACGCATCCATATCAACAATCGCACGTGCAATATCGTCTGTCTCTTTCCCTGAGAATCTACGGCTTCTGGAGAATTGACAAAATTATCTAATTTTTTTAAACATATATAATAGACCTTACACGATGTTCAATGAAAACAAAGAATCAGAGCAAATTAAACATAAGGGTAGAAGACAGCCGAAGGTGAGAAGAGCCAGGTAGGTAGCAGGTGCTTGGTCACGGTAATTATTGTATAAACACTGCCACAGGCGATAACGGTCATTTGGAGGCTCAGGAAACCCTAATTACTGTATGTACAAGTGCAATGAACATTTTACGTTTAAAACCGATATTTTAATGCATTAATAAAAATAAGCTTAGAAATATTTAAAAATATACATCCGAGTAACCGAGTACCGATTTTAGTATTCGATACTCGGACGTTCGATCGAGTACCCGGTTAACCGGGTACTCGTTGACATCCCTAATTTCACATGTTCAGACGCATCATGACAAATCAGGATTATCCACCTTTAAATATATTATTCATGATTAGAAAGTATACTGCATTAGTTTACTTTAAGGAGAGAGAGAGAAAAACATGTGAAGAATTGTTAATTAAATAGTATTTGAAATACTTGAAGATATTTACAGCAAATTTCTCACAAGTAGTAGTTTATCCTTCACAACAACACTATTAAGGTAAAATTTTTGTACGTCTGGATCATATACTCCTATCTCCAAGTACCTAAGAATTTCTTTTCCAAAAAAGCCAAAGAAATATTTATCAAGCAGATTATATTACTTGAAATTCAGTTTATCAAAATAAGTAAATACTTGTAATTAGATGATGAAATGAATAAGTTTCTAAGATCTAAGAAGATAAAAAAAAGTTCTGAAAAACTGACAGACACTTTGACTCGACAGCAAGGCAGAAATACACTTGCTTAGTTTAGATGAGAATTAAGATTTTAAATTTTAAAAACCCCTTCTTTTTATATAATATGAAAGAAATTCAACCTTGTATATTTTCTTCACAAAGTTTGAAATATGACGTATCAGACCCCTGTAAGAAGGTTGTGGAATGCCGATTTGAAAATGAGCCGTATTTTAAAATTATCAATTGATATATTGCAAACTGTTTAATGCTTTTTATAAAGACAGCTGTTTTTTTTCCTCAAATTCAGTATTCAATATTTATACTGTTAAATTTGAAGAAAAATATGATTAAAAAATAGTAGAACATATACAAGGGTCGGAAAAATATTATTCACTTCATTCAAAAACAGACTGTTACATGCTTGAATATACATATACTTTATATTACAAACATTTTCTGAAATTCAAACTCCCAAGTAATCGATGTAAATGATTCCCTGATTTTGCTCAAAAAAATCTTCAAACAAGCAATAATTTATTGATTTCCTTTCAAACACCATTCATCGTTGCCAATATAGTAATTTTCACATGAACTTTTAAGAAATGAGTTGAAATAGATCCATTGGTATTTTATACTATCTTAACACAAGTGCTTACCACTATAAAACATGACTAAGGCAAAAGACTTACACACACAAAAATACCCTTTTCACATACCTTCAAAAATACACCCCAACACCCTTACACGCATATGGGTGCGCACTGGCAAACAGACACATATACATACATAAACAATCTTTTTAAAACATCCTCTAAGCTGTAAATAATATTTGTTGTTGTTTACCATATGAAAATGTTATCACTAGATCTACTTTTTTTTCTATTAAATGTATGTCAGCTAATTATAATTTTGATCTTGTATGTTCAGATACTGGACTCCGCAATAAGGTTAAGTCGTGTGTATATCTCCCTACTAGCAGCTGGTTGCGTTTTATTCACAAACTGGAAAGCTACATTTTTTTGTGATCCGAGGTGTCATGTCTGTGCAATTATTCAGTTCGAAAATGCAGAACAAGGTCAGCAAAGAGGTCGTAGAAATCAAAAGGAGGATGTTAGCACGGTAATTCCAAAGCTAGCTAATTTTATGGAGAAATGTCTTGAGGACTGGTTACAGTACATTGCTGAGAAAAGAGAAAAATATAGACAGCTGAATTTTTTCACCATTGACCAGTTGGTTTTTCTTCAAAAAGAATTGGTTCGGAGTGGCACAGAAAAAACTGTTTCCAACTTAATATATCCGCTTTTGTCAATTATTAAAAACAATTGCTCACCAGCAGACGTGATTGAGGCAATGAAAAAGGCAAAGGCAGAAGTCAGAAAGAAGGGAGTAAAAGATATCAAGACGACAGAAGATGAAAAGAAAAGAAAATTTATAGAGAAGATGACAAAAATCGGTTTCCATGAAGATCTCGCATTAGAGGCTCTTGATAAGGGTGGAATTAGACCTACTGACGAAGCCGAAGGTTAATCTTTCTGATTTTTTAAAAATATATTTGCAAAAATTAACTGTAAGTTTAATTATGATCGATTTATACATGTATGTATATTATCGTTAAACTCTCTTGTTTTTCTCTAATATCACTCGCTCTTTGATCGAGAGGTCGTGTCATTATTTTGATTCTCTGTCATTACTGACTTAGGTCTCCGTGTGCTCGACACTTGAAGTTAAAGGTGTTGGTACTTCGTATAAAACCTTAAAAACCTTAGTCCTCTGTCACGACAGCCTTTGGCATAATAAAGATCCCTCAATCTAAAAATGAGCCCGAGTTCCGAGTAAATGTTAAATTTTGAAGCCATTAACCTTTATATGGTGACGTTTTACATGCCTGAAACATTTCTTAAATGGGACATAAAGCAGCGTACAATCAACCAATTTCTGAATTGAAGGATAAAAGGGAGGAACTTCATAATAATGAACAACATTATTACGTTTTCAAAACAAATGCATAATAATTTAAGAAAAGTACAAATCTTAAAATTAGTTTTCATTTTGACGAAATGAGGAAGAAATGTATGAAAATAAATAAAAGAGAGATCATTTTTAATATAAATGGTTCGTGAGCATTCTTGAAAAGAAACTGCAAAGGAAATGATTACATTTTTATAAGTACAGTATATTCCACTTAGAACATTTTTTACTCTTACCGGTTAAATGATGAAAATGAATTGTACAAAATACTACTTTTTAAAATCCCAAAATATCTCATCCACCCACCAAAAATAGTTTTGATGTTTGGCGTTTTTAGGGGACATTACAGATTATATATAATTTTGAAAACGCTTTAAACATTCGGTTTTTTTAAAGGAATCAAATGGTGCTTGCAAAACAGAAGACGATTTGAAATCAAATTAAGAAAGAAAGAGAATGACATTACATGGATTGAACCATCAAAATCCACTATGAATGACATGATTTATAGTTCATTCGATGGAGGAGAACGGTATATATATTAAACTTTATTGCATATTCTATCAAAGTTTATATACTTAGGTGACTCAGCCGTTTTAGAAGTAATATGTACTTAATTAATTAAACAATTTAATGTTTGACTTAGCCAAATAATTTGGCGAAAAGTGTAATAAATCTAATTTGCAATTCAATTAATATTTCTATACTTTATAAAATGTATGAAGTTTTCTGGCTTGAAAGTTTCTTTTAGACATTTTCAAAAATGCAATGTATCATTACAACAATAAAAAAGTTTATAATGATATTTCCATCGAAAGAAATTAAGTGTAGTTCGTCCGTGTGGGAGATTTGTTCGTGATATGTATCCTTAAGTAAGTCAAATTTATATCTTAAACTTTCAGAGAGTCCGCTTTTGAACCGCTTCTCCATAACCTGGGACTTTTATGGGAAAAATACGTCCAGTCTGTCTCATCCGGAATGGTAGACTGTCTCAGTGTGAGTCATCTTGGAATGATTCTACAACACCTTGCAGATGCCGGTAATAAACTATTCAAAATATGGCTTTTGTAAAAGCAGTATATCGATCATTCCATGAACATGAACTCATGCATAAAATTTATTGTGGTGCTTAAAGAATATTCTATGATAATCTTTGTAGTGTTAGTAATAAAACAAAATAAAAAAGAATTAGAAAAACATGGACATGCAGTTTAGGAAACAATTATATATTTTATAATTTTTATCATTTTTTCCAAGCTTTCCGATAGGATCAAACTTGGTCACATGATTAAGTATAAAACAGCATATAGAATTGAGTTACTATTTATAAAATCTATAGAAATCTACTTGATGTTCCTTAAAGTGGAGACAAATAGCATTGATGGCACAAGTATTTACATGTTGCTATACAGTGTATGACTTGATGTTTCCGAAATATATATATTTATATAAATGATAATATACATTTCGGAGATGATTTTTTTTTTTGTTATATATTAATATAAAAAAGAACAAGGTACGGTTTCAACACAAATATTGCCCCGTGATTTTCTTAAAAATAAAACTGACGTAAAAGATGAAAAATCATGCTTTCTGAATCATTGAAATTCCTCACAGAAAAATCATAAAAATCATTAATTTCGTATGCATTTCTAAATGCTAATTGTGAAGTCGTAGACATGTGCATTTTATTTTCCCGTGTTTTCTCATAAGTTGCGGAAGACAACAATTTTAAATGGAACTTTCTTTCAGATAATATTGTTCACAGGTATTGCCCACAAAGATTTTGAGATATGTGGTTCTAATTGAATTTTACACAATGTATCCAAAATTTAAAGTGGGCGATGACTGTGGTCACTTATATCTGATCGACAATTACACTTTTATGGATTATATTGAGTCTATTTGTTTAAAATAGATAAATGCATCAAATTTATGACGTCACATTTCCAGAATTGTATTTCGTCATGCCATATTCTTCCTGATCTTTCACAGTAAAAAAACTCTCAACTCATGATTAAGCCGGTTTCAATATTTTTTGAAAATGTTGAATTTTTAGGACACAATAAAGCCCCTACATTCTTCTTTCAATTGAAAATTTTCTATTTTTTGTATTTCTCTTTTGTAGAAACTAAAAAAGTGAATAGGAAAATGCCATCAAGTTTCCTTCAGGGTGTCCCAAATCTATTACTGTGCAGGAAAGGTATTTCAGTGTTTCTTAACTAGCTTTTTTAAAAATATGTTTCATTTACTTATTCTAAAGAACATAAATATTTAAAACCAAAATTTAAATATAAATCATTACAACTGTTATTCTCATTTTCATATTTTACCATGTCTGCAATTTGGCATGTCTAAAATAGATGCACACACAGCAATTTCAAAAATATCTCTTTAAAATGTAAATTGTTTGCAATTCTAATAAAATTAACAAATCTGTATTACATATATCATAAGACGATAACACTAGTGCATTTTGTTAATTTGAGCTGTTGAGTCCTATAAAAATCGGCAATCAAATATTTATCCGATTTTTTTTGGAGACAGACATGAAATAATTATATATATATATATATATATATATATATATATATATATATATATATATATATATATATATATATATATATATATATATATATATATATATATATATATAAAAAGGTAAATGATACTCAGAAAATAGCCTTTGTTCTCTTTAGATGAGAAATAGGTAGGCGATATAAAAAGTAAGAGGCCCATGGGCTATATCGCTCGCCTGAACTGCCTGACTAAGAAAAGCAGAAATCAGTACAGAATTGAAAATTTTAAATCCATAACTAGTCCAAGCCTACTCTTAAAAGTATAAGGATACATGTATGATTCAAACAAGCTTAAATATATTTACATGTAATTCTTCACTAACCATTTAGGTAACTTGCATATTTCTTTGAATAACTGTGGTTTTTCCCTTTCAATTAAAACTTACACTGTGGTCTCATCCTCCAACACCCAGTCGCTCCCTATCCCCCGAGAATGTGCCTATATAAATATGACCAATTCTGGCCTTGTTGTTCTTGAAAATAACATTTTAAAAGATTTTTACAATGTATTCCTATATGAAAATTTGATTGTCCCTTGTGGCCCCTCCCTATCCCCAGGGATCATGATTTCGATAAAAATGAATATACACTTCATTAGAACGCCTCCATATTTTACCAATTCCGGACTTCCAGATCTTGAGAAAAATTAAAATTTTTTTTTTACTAAAATATTCCGTTCGTAAACTTTGATCGTCTTTTTTCGCCCCGCCCGACTCCAAGAGGTCATGAATTGAATAAGCTTGAAGTTGCACTACTAAAAGATGATGATATATGGGTTTTATTTTTCCTGAACTAGTGGTTCTTGAGAAGATTTAAAAATGATGCATTTTTTTTCCACTAATGTGTCATTATCTCCCCTGAATGTGGCATGTCCTTTCATTAGAAGAAACCTGAATCGCCTTCACTGAAGAAAACTCTGTGCTAAGTTGAACTTTGCACACGTCAGTTGTTCTTGAAAAGAAGACGAATATTCGAAAAGTTTACAACAAAGATAACGCCAACGATAAAGACAGACAATGGACAATTTTTGGTTAGAAAAGCTCACTTGAGCCTTCAGCCTAGATGAGGTTAAACAGCATTGTTAATTTTTTTTTGTTTTTCCAGAGGCACTTTTATACACGGTTCTTGCCATTTACAACGATGACGAGAATATTGAATCGCCATTACCTCTGCCAGAAGAAGTTCTTCTTTGTACATCGCAAACAACAAAAGAGGAGGTATGTTTCTTCCCGTGAATTAATCAAAATGTAGGATTTCAGGAAATTGGTTTTTCAAATAATCAAAAAAATTCATGAACCACTTTTATATAGAATAATGCTACAAACTACAAATCTTATTAATTGTTTTTGGTTATATTTAACAATTTGAAGCAAGGTTTGGGGAGTTCTAGGATGTTTGCACAGCAATTTAACGACTTGTATAATATAAACTGAAAGGAAAAAATTCAACGTTTGGGAATATAATATGCACTTTTTAGCCGAAGGCTCAAGGGAGCTTTACTGATCACATTTTGTCCGTCGTCCGTCCGTCTGTCTGTCCGTCCGTAAAATTTTCACATTTTCGACTTTTTCTCAAGAACCACTGGGCCAATTTTGACCAAAATTAGTACAAAGCATTCTTGGGTAAAGGGAAATTTAAATTGTTAAAATAAAGGGTCAAGTCCCCTCACAAGGGCAGATAAGGAAGAAAAGACAAAAACAGGGTGGGGTCATTAAAAAGTCTTCTACTCAAGAACCACTGGGCCAGAAAAGCTGAAACTTATGTGGAAGCATCCTTGGGTAGTGTAGATTTTAAATTGTTCAAATCATGACCCCCGGGGTTAGGGCGGGACCACAATGGGGAATCAAAGTTTTACGTAGAAATATAATTTATAGGAAAAATCATTGAAAATTTTCTTCTCAAGAACCAATGGGCCAGAAAGACTGAAACTTACGTGAAAGCATCCTTTGTCCGTCGTCCGTCCGTCCGTCTGTCTGTCTGTCCGTCCGTCTGTAAACTTTTCACATTTTCGACTTCTTCTCAAGAACCACTGGGCAAATTTTAACCAAACTTGGTACAAAGTATGCTTGGGTAAAGGGACATTTAAATTGTCAAGTCCAATGGCCAAGTCCCCTCACAAGGGGAAATAATCAAGAAAAGACAAAAATAGGGTTGGGTCATTAAAAAGTCTTCTTCTCAAGAAACACTGACCCAGAAAAGCTGAATCTTATGTGGAAGCATCCTGGGGTAGTGTAAATTCTAAATTGTAAAAATAATGACCCCCGGGGATAGGGCGGGACCACAATGGGGAATCAAAGTTTTACATAGAAAAATATAGGAAAATCATTGAAAATCTTCTTCTCAAGAACCACTGGGCCAGAAGATCTGAAATTTATGTGGAAGCATCCTGGGGTAGTGTAGATTCTAAATTGTTCACATCATGACCCCGGGGGTTTGGCGGGGCCACAATGGGGAATCAAAGTTTTACATAGAAATATATAGGAAAAATCTTTGAAAATCTTCTTCTCAAGAACCACTGGGCCAGAAAAGCTGAAACTTATGTGGAAGCATCCTGGGGTAGTGTAGATTCTAAATTGTTCACATCATGACCCCTAGGGATAGGGCGGGGCCACAATGGGGAATCAAAGTTTTACAATGGGGAAACAAAGCATTCTATGATAGTGTAGATTTCAAATTCTATAAATTATGATCAGTTGGGTAGGGTGGGGTCACAGTATGTTTTACAAAGGGGAAATCTGGTAAAGAAAGGAATGGTCAAAGCTTCTCAGGTGAGCGATGTGGCCCATGGGCCTCTTGTTGAATATTTGCAGTTACTATAAATGTTTTGTCATAGTGTGGCTAACAAAAGTTACATTAGGTCTAGTAATTGAATTGCATTTGTGAATAAAAAGGCAACAACATGTGGCTGTGCAGTTTGTTTTTAACTCTTCAACCAAAAGTCACATAAGATTTTGGCAACTTGTTAATCAAAGATGAATTAAAATGTTGGATAACAATGTTATAGAACATATTCAAAATCGTTTTTTAATTGTTTTCAAAAGTTTAGTGTGTGTTTCTTTTTCCTTTCAGTATATATATTTTTTTAAAAATCTCAGTTCATGCTATAATATTTGATGAATTACAGATAGATATCTTTTTGCGTCGGTCATTGTATGATTCAAGAGGAAAAATTTATTGTCTGGTGAATGCTGACTGTTTGAGTTATGAAGTAGCAGATCACAGTGAACATCGTCTAGAACATCACATCAAAAAAGCCCAGAATAAATGTATAATTATATGGATATATATATTTACATTTTTATACTCATGTAATCTTAGATTTTAATGCTAACTCTTATTTTTTCTTCTCGTGTAAAAAAATATTTTCTTCTGCAATATTGCCTTCAAATATTTTTTTTGTTTCTCTTTAGATATTTTTTTATTCATTCAGATTCGATTTCTTTCGTAAATCTTTTATTCAGATGATCTCAATGACGCCTTCCTAAAAAAAGAAACGAAAACAAAAAAATAGTAATAAATTGCACAGTTTGATATCATTTAGAACCAAAATTCCGTTTTAACGGTGTTTGAATAAATTCATGATATGAAACATTCATCCGTATAAGATGAATTATTATTTTTCCTTTTATCAGTTTATAATTTAATCATCGTATGCGATGTTGAACGTGAGTTCCAGTCGAGGATAGTTGCAGCACTAGATAAGCACAAACGTTCTGGTTTACCTGTAGACGTTGGAAAAATAAGGTCGATGTTGAAGGAAAAGTTGAAAAATGAAAGTGAAAATGTGGCTGCATTTGCTGATTGGGAAAGGTAGTTTTATAGTTGAATTTATTTGAGACATTTTTTTTTTCAAATATTTTTATAATCTTTATACAAAATATGGCCTTTTTACAGATATACATGAAATATAGGGAGGTAGCGAACAGTATTCACGATAGAAAGTCCATAAAATAATGCAAAATAGGAGCGGAACAAACACAGACCCCCAAAACATCAGAGATGGGATCAGATGCCATGGAAGACTGAGCATCCCCTTCCTGCCGACCGGTCACACCCGCCGTGTGCTCCTTGTCCAAATTGGGAAATAACGAAAAATCCGTCAACATTCACTGTGTAAATAATGACTAAACAATCAGTAGAAAAACGTGTCAGCATTTTGCTTAATGATGGATTGTATTTGCTGACAAGGTCATTCATCATAAATTCAGTGTATAAATAATGGACTAACAATTAGTTTAAAAAACGCCAGTCAGCATACATACATATATAATGTAGAAAATATCTAAAGATACTTGTGATTTTAATTAAAATTTGTAAACAGGGATATAATTAAAGCAATAAGGTTAAGGATTTATAAGGAATTATAATTTTACGGTTATATAAACGTATATCATTCATGGGGTAAGCAGGATGCTGATTCTGCAAGATCAGACCACATGAGCTGAGGTAGAAGGAATTCTATTGCATAAAAAGTATAATGAAAATAGTTCGATCTTCAGCTTGGACGTGATTTCAGAAAGTAAAATTCATTTCAGGATCATGAGAATCCAAAACTATAATAATTCACAAAAACATTGTTAACTTATTTCTTATATGACCTCCTATAAGTGCTCAGTGTGACGACATGAACATTATCTTCTTATCTTTGAAATTTCAAAGTAGGCTTTAATTTTTAGTGCACCCTTTTAATTTCTTTCGTATAATATAAAGGGCATGTATTGCCCAGAATATTTGGAAATTTGTTTTTTAAAAGTACTTTACACAACATATCTAAAAGTGGAAGTGGGTGACAGCGGAGGACACCGTTTTCTTAAAAACAAATAACCGTTAAATGTGTCATTTAAAAAAAAACAATTAGAATGAACCAAGCGAAAAAAATATTAATGTCTATGATTATTTTGAAGGTCTACTGTCCGAGTTATAAAATCTTGGCGTGCAGGAGTCGGAAAAACACTGTTCAAAAAAAGAGTTGCAGAAGATGTGGAAAGAATGCATTGTTCACAAGAAAATAATGCAGTGATATCAATTTCATTTCATGAGAGAGATTTCAAAGTTGATGACGTAATGAAGAAGTTGCTTGACAATACTTTGCCACCCGAAAGAATCGAACCGCGACTTATTCATATTGATTTTTCGCATGAGGTAATTTTTTTCTTTGTAAATTCTTCACACAAGATAATTGAAACTTTAATCAGACTTAATTTTATGAAATATAATGCATCTTGAGATGTTTACTACAAAACTTTAAACATCTTGAAAAGTATGAAAAAGTGCAAGTATACCTGAGGTCATTTGCAATATCTGAACTATTTAAACTAATATACAATACTATTGAAAAATAAGTCAATGTAAATATTTTTTATCTCTCAAGTTTTTGAGAGTCCAAGAGAAACAGATGGTATTGTAAATTATATGTACAGAACAAAAATAAAATACATGCTTTCTAGGAATTTCAATGATTGGATACAAGTTTTACCCGTAAAGTTTTAAACCCTTGGACCCATTTTGGCAATTTAAATCCAGGATATTATGTGTAAAACACAAATAAAATTATAATTAGATAAAAAGGCTCCCTAAAACTGAATGATAAACAGTGACAAAAAGCATTTTGAAGAGATGGATGGCTAATGTGAAAGTAATTTACGTGATCATACCTTTCCGTACACTTGCATTAATCCTAGAAAGAGAATTATTTGACTTACATTCCATTCATTAAACCATTTTGTAATTATTTAGGTGGAGAATGGTCTTGATTTCTTCCTTTTCCAATTACTAGTTATTGGTTGTTTAACGAATAGCTACGGACTTGTTTGGCGTAAAAAAGATTTTGACATGTACGTTATAGAAACAATGCCAATCCGCACTGGAGAAACAGATGAAAAGGTACGTTTATGAATTAAATTTCAATAGTTCCATGCTCGGCTGATTAGAAATATGTTCCTCATAAAGCCCAACACCCTCTTATTGACTATTATCAAAAAAACATTGGATGCTCATCGTATACCCCATCGATTGATAATGTAACTGATACTTTAAGGACTACATGTGTACTAGACCGATGTGGACCGATGTTGGGGCATCGCTCACACCACGGATTACCAGCGATTACCACCGGTCTACGGCCACCGGCCGGGAAATGTGACCTAGGCATAAGGAATACTCGACCGATGTGGACCGATGTTGAAGCATGGCTTACACCAAAGGCCCAGTGATGCATTAGTAATCATAAAACGATGTTCCAGGGTAATCGACCTATGTATATTACGTATATAGCTCATACATAGGTGAACATCGTTTGTACGTCGGTCGAGTATGGGCCAATGTTTAGTCGAACATCGACCGATGATCGGCCGATGTCTATTTCCCACCATTCAACCCCCCGATGACCACAGCCCTTTGCTGTTTTTAATTAAAGTCGCTTGGTTCGATTTTAATCGCATAAAATTATATTTGTTTTTCTTCTTGAAAAATAATTGTCCATACAATTTTCAAATTTTGTCGATTTCTATCCCCAAAGTATTTTTCTTTTAAAAGATATCAAAATTCATAAGTTAAAAAAATAATTTTTGTTAGGTCTCACAAAAAATCCTTTGTTGATATCGAGAGAAATCACCTTCGAAATATTAACTTTACCGCATGTATCCCATGAAGAGCAAACCCGAGCATTTTTTTGACAACAAGTACTTGTACATGTACACCTACAATATTTTAGCCTTTGTTACTAAACGTCCTTAAAAAATCTTTAAAAATATCTGATTTTCCTTTATTCTTTAAATATGCATATTTATATAAAAATTACTATGGATTACATTCAATTAATTTCTTAATTTGTAAAAGATATATAATGACTCAAGCTTCTACTAAAGAAAAAAACAATACTCGGATTTGAATTATCATCAAAATTAGATATAACCGATAACTTCCCGGCAGGAACTTCAGTAAGGTTTTTGATCTATGTTTTCCATGTAAGGATTTTTGCTATAAACTATTAAATCATTCTTATAATTTATTTTTATAAATTATCTATGTAATTATAATGACGTACTTTTATTGTGTAAGATAATATGTGCCTGTTTCTGATGAAACGGCTTTAAGTGAATTTTTTTTGTACATTTGATTTTAGAGTTTAAAGCCAAGGATTCATGTTTCATTATCTGTTTGACTTTCAGACAAGCGTGGATAAGTTCAATTTATGATTTATTAGATTATTTATTTAGCTATTCTTTTACGTTGTCGTTTTCAATCATTTTTAGCTCACCTGAGCCGAAGGCTCAAGTGAGCTTTTCTGATCACATTTTGTCCGTCGTCCGTCCGTCCGTCTGTCTGTCCGTCCGTCCGTCTGTCCGTCTGTCTTCCCGTCTGTAAATTTTTCACATTTTCTACTTCTTCTCAAGAACCACTGGGCCAATTTTGACCAAACTTGGCACAAAGCATCCTTGGGTAAAGGGGAATTTAAATTGTTAAAATGAAGGGACATATCCCCTCGCAAGGGGAGATAATCAAGAAAAGAGAAAAATAGGGTTGGGTCATTAAAAAATCTTCTTCTCAAGAACCACTGGGCCAGAAAAGCTGAAACTTATGTGGAAGCATCCTGGAGTAGTGTAGATTCTAAATTGTTCAAATAATGACCCCCAGGGGAAGGGCGGGGTCACAATGGGGAATCAAAGTTTTATATAGAAATATATAGGAAAAATCTTTGAAAATCTTCTAATCAAGAACCACTGGGCCAGAAAAAGTGAAGCTTATGTGGAAGCATTCTGGGGTAGTGAAAATTCTAAATTGTTCACATCATGACCCCCGGGAGAAGGGCGGGGCAACAATGGGGAATCCAAGTTTTACATAGAAATATATAGGAAAAATCTTTGAAAATCTTCTTCTCAAGAACCACTGGGCCAGAAAAGCTGAAACTTATGTGGAAGCATCCTGGTATAATGTAGATTCTAACTTGTTCAAATAATGACCCCCAGGGGAAGGGCGGGGCCACAATGGGGAATCAAAGTTTTATATAGAAATATATAGGAAAAATCTTTGAAAATCTTCTTCTCAAGAACCACTGGGCCAGAAAAAGTGAAGCTTATGTGGAAGCATTCTGGGGTAGTGTGAATTCTAAATTGTTCAAATCATGACCCCCGGGGGAAGGGCGGGGCCATTATAGGGGAATCAAAGTTTTACATAGAAATATATAGGAAAAATCTTTGAAAATCTTCTTCTCAGGAACCACTGGGCCAAAAAAGCTGAAACATATGTGCCCATGGAAGGATCATGGGGTAGTGTAGATTTCAAAATGTCTAAATTATGATCAGTGGGGTAGGGTGGGGATGCATTATGTATAACAAGGGGGAAATCTGGTAAAGAACAGAATGGTCAAAGCTTCTCAGGTGAGCGATGTGGCCCATGGGCCTCTTGTTTAAAACATAGGGTGACCATTTAGTTTCAACTTTAATGTCAAAGTCACGGGGTCAAAAATCATAGTGTATGTAAGAAAGGTCTTGTCACAGGCAATACATGAGTATAATATAAAAACCCTATCTCTTCTCATTCAAAAGTCATGATCAATGTTATAGATTTTTTGCAAAGAAGGTCAAACTTCAAGGTAATGATCACGAAGTCAAAATCATTGTGAATTAGGATGATTGATTATTTTTTAACGCCGAGTCGGCAATATTTCAGCCATATTTCGACGGTCGTATTAAGAAGGGACTTCTCACAGACAATACACGTATTTAATATGAAAGCCCTATCTCGTCTCATTCATAAGTTATGGCCAATTCAGAAATGTTAATTTTTAGGTTACCTGAGCTGAAAGCTCAAGTGAGGTTTTCTGATCACATTTTATATGTAATCCGTCTGTCCGTATGTCTGTCTGTAAACTTCTAACATTATTGACTTCTTCTCTACGTCCACTGGGCCAATTTCAACCAAACTTGCCACAAAGCATTCTTGGGTAAAGGGATTTAAATTTTACCTGTACATTGTAGAAACAATGCCAAGGAAAGGCCCTACCCTTTTTCAAGAGAAGATAATTAAGAAATAGTAAAAATTTGATTGCTTGTTCGAAAAATCTTCTAAAAAACCACTGGGTCGGGAAAAATGAAACTAAAGTGGAAGCATCCTCAAATAGTGTACATTCAAATTTGTTTAAGTCATGACCGCCGGGGGTAGGATGGGGCCACAATGGCCAATCAAAATTTTACATAGTAATATGTAGGAAAAATCTTTAGAAATATTCTTCTCAAGAACAACAAATTCTTGATTGGTCATATTTATATGAAATCATCCTCAGGTAGTATAGATTCAAGTTTGTTCAAATCATGACCACCAGGGATAGGGTGGGGCCACGATGGACGATCAAAGTTTAACATAGAAATATATTAAAAGGAAATCTTTAAAAATCGTCTCCATGAGAACAACAAAGCCATGATTAGTCATATTAAATGGAATCATCCTCAGGTAGTGTACTTGTAGATTCAGAGTTGGTCAGATCATGACCCTTGGGGTAGCTAGGGTGGGACCATCATTTCCAAGTAACTATAAGCCCTATGTTGACCAAATTTGCATATTGATACATCTATAAGGTTGCAACCAACCAGGCTTCCTAGGTGCAGAGTCTGACCTACATTTTCTGGATGAGTAAACAGGTTAATGTTTTTGCTGCAGGTTTCATTTCCAACAATTAGCACTATAATGAACAAACTTGCATGGGTGATGCATTTATGGATGCATACTATTAGACTTGCTTAGGATGCTGAAACTGACTTACATTTTCTGCAAGAGTGAACAGGTTAGAGTTTACGGTGCAGATTTCATTTCGAAGTTACTATGAACCCTATAATGACTTAACTTGCATCGATGATATGTCTTAGGATATATACTACCAAACTTGCTTCGGATGCTGAATCTGACCTACATTTTCCGGATGAGTGAACAGGTTAAGGTTTTTGGTGCAGGATTCATTTCCAAGTAACCATGAGCTCTTTAATGACCTAGAGGAGTGGAAAGGTTAGTTTTTGATTCATTTCCAAGTAACTATTAGCCCTAACTTGAGCAAACTTGCATGGATGATACATCTTAGGATGCACACTTATGAACTTGCTTTGGATGCTGAATTTGATATACATTTTCCAGATTGTAGACAAGTAGAAAATATAGGTGCTAGTCTATTACGACGAAACTATCAGGCTTATATATAAACCAAACTTGCACATGCATCAAGGGATGAAAACTCTCAAACGCGCTTCAGATGTTGGATTTTAATTATTTTTTGTGATGAAGAACTTTTTTGAAATTTTTTTTGATCCATACCAAAGTATCAGATCAAAATTGCATAAATATTGCATTTTTATACCCCCCGCTTGAAAAGTGGGAGGGTATATAGTAATCAGTATTTCTGTCTGTCCGTCCGTCCGTCTGTTACGCTTTGGGGTACCCATCTCTTATCCGCAACTCCTCTCATACCTGAAGGAAATTTAATGAAACTTTCACAGATTCTTAATTATATATTGCCATTGTGACCTCCTATTTTACTTTTTGAGCTGACATATATTTTTGATTTTCCAGAGCAAAACATGGACACTGCCATTATATTTATGCAGGGGGGGGGGGGTTATCATTTAGTGAGCTCATTGCCCATGGTACCTCTAGTTTGATGTACACTTTTTGTTGGTTAATTGTGCCACTTTGCCTCACTTAAATACAACATTCGGTGAGATGAGCTCTGTAATCTCTGAATACCTACTATGTTTAACGATCTAGTTGATCTTCGCATACGTTTTAACGCAGCGTCGACTCAGGCACGTCACAGTACCCTGGACTGCCGTCACAATTGAATACAATAACGTCACAATTAAAATGACGTCAAATTGCGCTAAAATATTTCGCGGATCTTGCTCTATAGACTGTTTGTTGAAAGCTGGTTCATTCTGGCTTTTTATTACTTTTAAATTGATAACAACTTTGAAACATACCGGTATTTATTTTGAGGTATCAATTCTTTGAACAGATTCATTAATTTTATCTTGTTTTATTTCAATTTGTGAGTTAGAAATAAAAACACACTACAACCAAAAGTAAACGATTTTAGTCTTTCTCCTCGAACATTGAAGTGTTTATACTCACCATTTTTATTGAGCATAAAGAGAAAATTATGCCATAATATAAGAATAATTTAATTTTTAGAAACTTATACAGTATTACAATTGTTTGTTGATGTTATGTAAAGTTGACCTATTGCAACTTATGAAATACTAGCTATAGTTGGATAAAATGAGTCCTATTATTGTGTTTTGATATGCCCCCTTTTCACTGCAATAAAGGCTACCTCCGATTTTCTTTTCATTTTTTAAAAGAGGGATGTGAATTGCATGATATATGTGAAAATTAAAACATTTCATCATTTATTTATTTTTTTAATTTGTCAATTCCTTTGTTTATTGAGGAATTTTAGTATGTAATTGTGTATAAAAACACAAAAATGGTCCATATCTTGAAAGTGCCCCATTTGACTACAATAAAGGCAATGCAACAAAATTTCATTTTAATTTTTCTTAGCATAATACATACAAATTTACTTCCAAGAATCAAAATTTTTTATCATTCTGTTTTCGTAATATCCAACTTGATTGGGCCTCGTTAAGCTATGGCCAATTCAGATTAATGTTTATTTTTTTAAGTAGGTCAACCTTCAAGGTGAAAAACGCGAGGTCAGAAATCATAGTGTTTTCAGAAAGGGATTGTCACAGTGTAATATGAATGCCCAATTTTTTTGCATTCAAAAGATATGACCAAGGTTATGTTTCTAGTGACTGACGGACAGAACTATACAGAGTGACATACTTACAGACCGATAAACGGACAGATGAATAAGATTTTTTATGACCCTCACTTCTGCATAAGCGGAGAATAAAAAGTAACAAATTAATATACCTGATTTTCGATCGGTCAAGTCTGTAGGCAAACTTTCATTCTCTTATCTATTGCTACTTTTTCGGGAATATTACTGCAGTTCAAGGCTTAGTTTAAGTTATTATGATATATCTTTTTTTTTACTTTAGTCTCTGTGGTATGTTTCTTAGATTTTACGGAACAGTCGTAAAAAGTTCTTAGATTCTACTGAACAGTCGTAAAAAAATGTGTAACTTAAGCACAATCTACGATGTTTAAAAAAGATTTTTTTGTGAAGTTTTTCAACCAATTTTGAACTACTTTACTGTTCTTCTTTCAGACGCAAACAGTAGAGTGTAGACATTCCTGCTTCAATATCTTACCTGATGCCATTTGTAGGTCTCCGTTGGAGAGTTTGAAGATTTTGGAGAGGAACATGTATTCAACTGAAAGTAGGATTTCAAAATTATTAGAATCAAATTTTCTTGCATTTTTTTGTCTAGATTGCCTTGATAAGAGGAGAATCTTAGAAAGAAATTGCCAAGAATATCAGCAGTCCGGTTAAAGCCTTTCGCATGCTCCGTGTTCGAATGACCTTGTCAGCAAATACAATCTATCATTAAGTCAAATGCTGACATTTTTTCTACTTATTATTAGGCCATTATTTACACTCCGAACTGTTGACGGATTTTTCCATTATAGCCAAATTTTGATAAGCAGAATACGCGGCGGATGTGACCGGTTGACAGGGGATAATCAATCCTCCACGGTACCCAATCCTTAATCTGATTTTTAGAGATCCATGTTTGCTCTGCTCCAAAATTTATATTTTAAATGGATTTTCATCTTGAATACCATTTTGCTTTCTCTAGATATTCAAAGAGACAAAAAACCTAAATGTACAGTATGTTTCTCCTTCTTAGATCATAGTGTAGACCGATAGAAAAACGGGGGGGGGGACTTTTATTTATTTATCGTTTGATAAACTGTCTGATACAAATTAGTTGATACATGTAACGTTTTTACTTGGTCCTTAATCTTCTTTGTATTTTTTCCAGATTTCAGAGAAAGGGGTATTCTCTTTGATCAAAGGGAATTTGAAAGCGAATATTTTCAAAGGCCTTTCCAGTACCTGTCTCAGCATGATGTAAATGTACAGAGGGTCAACGGAACTCCGAAAGAATGTTTGGAAACCTTACTTCAGTACGTAAAACATGTAATGAATATGTTTTTATGAATTAAATTTATTATCAAAACATCATAAGATCATTTATATTATTTATTTCATTCACATAATTTTCATTTAGGCATTGTGGAATACAGGATCCCTCTTGGGCTGAACTTCGTAATTTTGTTTGGTTTCTTAATACTCAACTTAAAGATTATGAAAATTCAGTTTTCATCTCTTTTTCTGATGAGGAAACGCTTCCAGATTTCCCAAAGTTTGTTCTTCAGTTCCTTATTCAGATGTCAAGAGTAAGTATGAAATAAGCAAAATTCGTTATGTTGTAAAAACTACCACGGTAAGCTACATGTAAGTTATAAAGTCAAGTATCATCTAAACAACGGTAGACTTCATAACAGGAGTAAAACCATGCATTGATCACATTGGTTATATCGTCTATAGGGCAATCATGTTACTTAAAGAATATTATATGTGCTCATCAGTGTTATTTACATTCAGAATTATTCAAGTGTTTAATACACGTCATCAAAGTTTACGTTTGTAAATTTTAAACGAGAAATTTTTAATACAGAAATACAGTAAAATCATCATTTTCTAAACTTTAAAATGTCTCTTTTATAATAAATCTATTCTAAAAACGACGCTGCTTTACTGCTCTTAAACTGCCAATTTACATTAAAGAAAAAGACTTCTAAATCATTCAGGTCTAGACTAGCTTTATAAAAAGTTCACCAATTAACCCTAACTTTCAATTGACTTTTGAAAACCTTGTGATATTTTCAACTGTCTTCTTGCTAAAGGATTTCTCAACACGGTCATTGCAAATGAGTGAGGAAGGTACGGATAATCAAAGTGCGCATGGACATTCATTCACTAGTGAGGAAGAAAATGCGGTTCTCAGGCAGTATCAAATGAAGAGAACGTGGGAAAGCAGGTGGGTAAATTAAAAGCTAAGTACAACTTTGAAATCAATTGCTTCATTACATTAATTTTGTTTTAGAAACCCATTTTAAAATCATTCTTTAACTTTAATTTTTACAAATTATGCCATAATTTGTATAATATATTTATAAATATATTTCTTTCTACAATCATTGCGAATGTAAATATGCATTTCATATGTTTCTACCAAGATTAACCAAGAGATCTTTTTTTTCCTTTAGTCCACATCCATACCTTTTCTTTAATGCTGATCACACATCGATGACGTTTGTCGGATTCAATGTAAACAGATTCTCAGGAGATATCTTGGACCATCGAACTGACAAGGTTTTATCGGAAGTCAAAATGCCTTATGATCTGTATAGAGCTCTCGAGAGAAATTGTGTTGATTTGAACGAAGATTTTGATAAACTGCAAAGGTAAAATAAATTCAGGAATCAAAGGCATCAAAGTTGATAATATTTTGTACAGTCTTGGTAAACTGTTTTCAAAGACTGTGATTTATATATGTCTTAATATCTCTTTATATGATTCAACAAGATAAAAGCACTGAACATAATAATTGATGTTCATAAATCAAATTAATAGAACACCTTGAAACTGCCAATTTCATGTTTTCGCTGTCATATGGAACCAAAAAGTAAAAACTCTCCTTAAATGAATTAAAATGTGAAAAAATAATTTTATTCTCATACATGCTTATACTTTTTTTGCAATAATTACCATGAAATGCTTTCACAAAAATATGAACATAGTTAATGAAACGATGTATCCACGTAAAAATGACGACTATAACAGAGCACTTTATACTTTCTTTTGTATATATTCATGTTTCATTGATTGTTAGAGGTTTTCACCTCTCTACAATGTACAATTCCTCCAAAAATATAATATACCAACTCTTTATTTGATATGAAGCGATAAAAATTTGATTGATTGATACTTGCAGAATGGAAAAAATAAAGAAATTATACAGTGTAATGGGTATTGATATTCAGTCAGAGGAAGACAACAGCGAATATGACCCGGACCCTACGTATGAATTGACAACTGACAACGTTAAGAAAATCCTTGCTGTCTACATGCGATTCAGGTACTACTTTCCTAGAAATCACCTTTATCAGACATAAATCACAGACAAGATGTGTATAGGCAGTGAATGGTGCATATTTCCTATCTGTCTGTGAACTTCCGTTTTTAACATAATTTTAAATGCAAGTGTGACAACACATGAAGCAAAATTAAATCAACGACTGAAAATGGTTTTCGTTCAAATTCCAACATACGGTAATATATTTTGTCCTTTGAAGTTCTACCGACTTTCATTGAAGTTCTGTCGACGAGTTTTGTTTATTTATTCAAAATGTTGTTGATAAACAACAGAACAAAAAACAACTATATAAGTAAATCGTTTTAGCACTGACAATAATATAATCAAATGCTTTAATCGAAAACAGGGATGATAATTTGTAAAATGTTGCTCAAACCAATGACAATAGATGGAAAATAATGAGTTGAATAAATGTTATATATATATATATATATATATGTATATATATGTATATGTATATATATATATATATATATATATATATATATATATATATATATATATATATATATATATATATATATATATATATATATATATATATGAACGCAATTCCCTTGAAATATGTACTGTACTGTAGCTCTAAAAAAAGAGCACATTAGCCCCCATATTTTATTTCAGTTTTTAATAATATTTAATAATATAGCTATTTAATTTGTGATGAAACTAAAAAAGATCTTTTACAAATAAGTTAGTGAAATATCAGGACCAACCTCGTTATTATATCGAACTGGATTTTTGACGTCAAATTGAGAATACGAATCAATGAAACAATTGTTAAATTGAATTTCTACGTTTTTTTTCGTTTTTGCTCCATTTTACAGAAAAAATGACTGCAGACACTAATTAGTGTATTGTTCATAACATACTAAATTTTGACCTGCTCAGCGATCCGATTTTTGCATTTTTAGCCGGGCTTTGCTGAAAGCAAAGTTCTGGCTAAAGGAATCATGACCGACTTTCTTACAATAAATAGCACAGTAACCAAAAAAACCAAACAGCGTCAAAGCAGCTGCTTCCGATAATCAAAATAGTTTCATCGCGAGACGATATTCAAACAAATTCTTTTAACATTCCAATCGTTTTTAAAGTTATTGATCAATATTTTTATGAATTAAACTGAAAAAGAAATTAGATATTTGCTTTATTGGGATAATCGTGATAACAATTTTTGCACATAAGCTGCTGAATGCATATTGTAAGCAAACCATTTTCAATAGCGCGGGCTTTTTCGAAATGTTGTTGTAGAGGAGTTTCATGTTTCAGATTGGTTTCGTCGATGTTATGTTAGTAGTTATATACTGTTTTGATTTTTTGCAAATTAATAGAATAGTGAATTTGAATCTTAAGAATTACATGTACATGTATCAGTGTTTCTACATTTTGTTGGCGATAAAAGTACTGTTAGTTTGAAACGAAAAGAATGTCTATTAAATACATATGTGCATTATTTGAACTATTCCAAGACTGATTTTTTAAATTATGAGAAAACAGATGCTTATTGAATTGAAAATATGCGAGAGTTTCTTGGAAATGTTATTTATTAAATTTAAAATCATAAAATATTTTTGGGTCTGGACTGTTAATTTTAAGTACTGGTATATGAGCTATTGTTTTAAATCATAATCAGACAAACTCTACCTGGGAAAATCAATAGTCAAAGGAAAAAAAATAAATATGTATTAATTTCAGATCAGACAATATACTCGAGAGCAATTAAATGCACCTTCAGTTTTTGCAATACTTTGATTTAAATCTGGATTAGTTTTGAATAAATTGTGATATTTAAAAAAAAAATTAATTCAAATCATTTGGATTTATTTTTTAAATATTTCTTCCAAAATTGGATAACATACTGTAAAGTAACGTATTACATTTGGCTGTGTATTCTTTGTAGCGGCTTTAGAGGAAAGAAACTCCAGCTTATTCAAGTACAACGCTAAATGTCTTACACATAAGCTCATGTATACGAAAATGAATAAATGCGCTAAATCATATCTACCCTAGCCTGCTCAAAAATCAATTTCCGCCAAATATCGTACACGCCAAATATAATACATTTATAGTATGACGTCAAATGAGTAAGATATGACAGGAGTCCACGAACTTTTCGAACAACCCTCGTACAAGTTCCTCTTCAGCTTTCGAATTTCCTTGGGATATAACAATGAAATGAATTGAATATTAAACACCTTCAAGTTTTCGTATATCTTTTAAACTTAAATTGACTACTTATAACGACATATACTTTTAATGCGATTTGTATATTGCTGAAATCAGTTGCAATTATTTCACTCTAATGTGTTTTGTGCTCGTAATTCTGCGTTTTCATAATGGGTTTACATTTCTTTCTCTGAAAAACTTCAGGTCCGATATCCCCGTTGTAATCATGGGTGAAACTGGATGTGGGAAAACTCGACTTGTTAAGTTTCTTTGTGATATTGGATTGAAACGAAAGCCAAAGAAAGAGAAGTGTTCTGAAGATACCAACAAAACCAACATGATCATTATGAAGGTTTGAAAACTAATACTTAATTATTTACTTTATTGTATATCATTAAAGATTCAGTTTTTATATTACTACAATTCTATGTAAATGTTTTATTTCTGAAAGACAAATGTATAAATTAATATTTTGTATTGAATGATGAATTAGGCACAACCTAAAAATATTAAATAAATTTTGTACGTTTTATAACTAGGTTCACGGAGGAACAACATCTAATGATATTAAAAGAAAAGTAGTAGAGGCTGAAATTTTGACTGAAAAAAATATCGAGATTTACGGAGATAATATGTTCACAGTTCTTTTCCTTGATGAAGCGAACACAACTGAAGCAATAGGAACTATTAAAGAGATAATGTGTGACAGAACAATCGGAGGAGAACCACTCAGACTTGGGCGATCTCTGAAAATCGTTGCTGCTTGTAACCCATACAAAAGGTTTTGTAAAAGTTTTTAGCTCACCTGAGCCGAAGGCTTAAGTGAGCTTTTCTGATCATATTTTGTCCGTCGTCAGTCCTTCCGTCTGTCCATCTGTCCGTCCGTCTGTAAACTTTTCACATTTTCGACTTCTTCTCAAGAACCACTGGGTCAATTTTGACCAAACTTGGTACAAAGCATCCTTGGGTAAAGGGAAATTCAAATTGTAAAAATGAAGGGCCATGTCCCCTCACAAGGGGAGATAATCAAGAAAAGACAAAAATAGGGTTGGGTCCTTTAAAAATCTTCTTCTCAAGAACCACTGGGCCAGTAAAGCTGAAACTTATGTGGAAGAATCCTGGGGTAGTGAAGATTCTAAATTGTTCAAATCATGACCCCCGGGGGTTAGGCGGGGCCACAATGAGGAATCAAAGATTTACATAGATATATAATGGAAAAATCTTTAAAAACCTTCTTCTCGAGAACCACAGGGCCAGTAAACTTGAAACTTATGTGGAAGCATCCTGGGGTAGTGTAGATTCTAAATTGTTCAAATCATGACCCCTGGGGGTTGGGCGGGGCTACAATGGGGAATCAAAGTTTTACATAGAAATATATTGGAAAAATCTTTGAAAATCTTCTTCTCAAGAACCACAGGGCCAGTAAAGCTGAAACTTATGTGGAAGCATCCTGGGGTAGTGAAGATTCTAAATTGTTCAAATCATGACCCCCGGGGGTTGGGCGGGGCCACAATTAGGAATCAAAGATTTACATAGAAATATATAGGAAAAATCTTTAAAAACCTTCTTCTCGAGAACCACGGGGCCAGTAAAGCTGAAACTTATGTGGAAGCATCCTGGGGTAGTGTAGATTCTAAATTGTTCAAATCATGACCCCTGGGGGTTGGGCGGGGCCACAATTGGGAATCAAAGTTTTACATAAAAATATAAAGAATAAATCTTTGAAAATCTTCTTCTTAAGAACCACTGGGCCAGAAAAGCTGAAACTTATGTGGAAGTATCCTAGGGTAGTGTAGATTCTAAATTGTTCAAATCATCACCCCCCCCCCCGGGGTTTGGCCAGGCCACAATGGAGAATCAAAGTTTTACATAGAAATATAAAGGAAAAATCTTTGAAAATCTTCTTCTCAAGAACCACTGGGTCAGTAAACGCTGAAACTTATGTGGAAGTATCTTGGGGTAGTGTAGATTCTAAATGGTGCAAATCATGACCCCCGGGGGTAAGCCGGGGCCAAAATGGGGAATCAATGTTTTACATAGAAATATAAAGGAAAAATCTTTGAAAATATTCTTCTCAAGAACCACTGGGCCAGAAAATCAGAAACTTATGTGGAAGCATCCCGAGGAAGTGTAGATTCTAAATTGTTCAAATCATGAACCTCGGGGGTTGGGCGGGGCCACAATGGGGAATCAATGTTTAACATAGAAATATGTAGAAAAAATCTTTGAAAATCTTCTTCTCAAGAACCACTGGGCCAGAAAAGCTGAAACTTATGTGGAAGCATCCTGGGGTAGTGTAGATTTCAAATTGTTTAAATTATGATCATTGGGGTAGGGTGGGGTCACAATATGTATTACAAGGGGTAAACAAAAATCAACCCTCGTACATGATGCATGTACATTTACATATACAGAAAGGAATAGCAAGATCATGTTAGGTAAATTTATTTTAATGTATATTCATTATGTTAAGATTCAATTTATCAGATCAGGGTCAGATTAAAGAACGGAATGGCCAAAGCTTCTCAGGTGAGCGATGTGGCCCATGGGCCTCTTGTTAAACAAAAAAAAATCCCAAGCATCTTTCTTTAATACTCTCAATTTTGAATTATAAAGTCTCCGCCCCGTGTCTTCTAATTCTTTAGGTCCCTTAGAAATGTTTCAAATAATATTATATGATGACACAACCACTATTCGTGGAGAGTTTGTCCTATACTCGGTATTTACGATAATTGAACGGTGAGGGTTCCTTTTCATGCTAACACCTACTCCAACATGGAAACTCGGTTTATACGTCTTATCCGAAGAACCAGTCTCCACGTTCAACAGCAGGATTCAAATCCGTGACGTTAGGATCAACTCCTTACTCCGCGTTTCTAGAGCAGTTGCTCAAACCACTGTCCCCGCGTTCGATCGTAAAATAAGCATCAGATTTAATAAACTCAGTTCTGCAAATGAAAGACCAACTAACCTCACTTTCAGACTCAATGTAGGTCGATATCACATTTTAGATTTTATTATAGATTTAGGAGCTCTTTCGCATCTAGACACCACGTGATGAATAGTGTGAAAAGTAATACCTGAATTCTAGTCAAAGTGTTTCACTTTGCTTGATCGACCATGCTACATTCTTACGAACTGATTATCATATAATTCATCAATTGGATGTTTATTTCAAAGAAATTAATTCTACTTTTCATAATACTTAATATAATCCGACAATACCCTGATAATAAACCTGCAATTGTTTATTAACTAGAACCACATTTGTAATTAGTAGCAAAATCGGGCCAGTCAAGTGCCACTGCTTGCTTCTCTGTTCATTTGCGAAAATAGTATTAATAGTAATATATAGTAATAGTCATATTGTAAAAGACGTAAAATTTGAGCACGTTCGATTACATTTGGCAAGGTCCCTGCTCCTTGAATTGATCAAAAGGTCAGGGGTTCGAACTCTACCACGACTGACCTTAGAGGTTAGATAATAAGATGCAACTGGTCCAGGCGCTCGGATCCCGTGTAGAGAATGTTACAGGTCTTTGGGTGAGACCTTGAAAGCCGAGAGGTCAGACCTGTGTCATGACAAGCTTTGGCATGATAAAGATTCCTCCCCATCTGCTTAATGACCTCGAGTGCTTCGTAAAAGCGTTGATTTGAAATCCCTGACTAAATATGTGGTGAAAAAACTCGAATTGGACAAAAAAATGCATGCAATCACATGACGAAGTATTATTATGTTAAAACATTGGTCGCGGTTTAGTGACTGTTTAAAAACTCGAGACAATTTTATGCTGAGCATAATCTTGTTTTAAGCCTTTTTTATAGAATGTAGGATAAAATCGAAAGATTAAATTTGTTTAGTATCCTCTACGGCCGGATGCACAATCTTCACCCACATATGATTTTAAGAGCAAAATGATTTATATAGATCTGCCTACACACTGTGCAAAGTGTGTGATTTAACATACAGTACCAACCAGGCCCAACCTGATCCAAAGCAATCTCAGAGCAATCTCGACTGTATCTGTTACAGTAGAACTTCTACAACTTTCTAGGACTGCTAAAACAGCCCCACAGTGATCCAAGAGCAGTTCTTCAGGAGTCATAGCAGTCATAGTGGGTGGGATTTTTTAAATAAATAAGCGGAGCATACTCAGAAATGCATCTGAAATGTATCATTCATGTATATTGCTTACCATTATGCTCATTGATTTGTAACACTAATACCCTAAAAAAAAACATGCATCGACTTTCTGCTAATTATTGATAAATGCGATTGAAACCTCAGGTGTTGACACCATTTTATGCATATTTTAAAGCGACCAGGTAAACACAACACGAAACAAATAAGAAATTCGTTTAAGTCACAATCTTCACGATATTTTATTTTATTTTTTTTTTACATATTGTACTGTTTAAAAAAATGTGTTAATAAATTTTGAAAAATCATAAATAAAGCCCCAGTGCAATACTTGGTCACTTTGTGAAACGATTCTCTGCGGGAAGTAAACAAAACAAAAACAGGAAGTCTGCAAATAAAATATACAAAGGATAGAGCGATCATGAACTTAGAACCTTTTTCACGCACGAGTGAAAAAGATATTTAGAGCAGTGCCAGAGCAATCCTTTAGAAGTCCCAGAGATGTCCAGCAGCAGTTAAAGAGTGGTTCTAGACCAGTCACTTGGACTGCATGGGTGTCAGGTTGGGCCTTGTTGGCATTGTAAAAGGTTCAACACCCAAAAATTAAGCTTACATATTCCAAAGTCGCGCCCTATATTGATTACTGGCTTCGTATGGAGATGGTTTGTTTTGTAAAGCAGTCTGTTGGTGCTACGACTTTCAGTTTTTTTTTTCATTTTTCTTTCTCTTTCGCAAAATTGTTTTTTATGATGGCTTTTTAGTTTCAGTTCAAGTCTTCAAATGGTCTATCTTTTGTCCTTCTGTAAATTTTTTATATCCTTGCAAGTTCTTTGTTTTGTTGTTGTTGTTCTTAAACGAATCTGATAAGTATTATCTAATTTAAAATTGTGTGAGTTAGCCCCTAATGAATGAAATAAAACAGTTTATTTCAAATATAAATTTTTAGGCATTCTGACGAACTAATAAAAAAACTGGAGCAAGCTGGTTTAGGATATCATGTTGATGCAGACAAGACAACAGATAGAATAGGTACGTATCTTTTTCTGTTGTCGTTGAAATTCAATTTAGTGGAAAATTTGGGTTGACTCATTTAATAATTTGCGAACGGATGACGTTTAGAACTATTCTTTTATTTTTGTGCTATATCAATTTAATTGTCCGTAACTCACCTTAGTTTAAAGCATATTTTCTTTTATTCAAGCATGCGTACTAGTATTTAAACAAGTTGTTTGGAGACATGAAAAATTTCTTGAGGTGCTGTTGATATATTTCTAAAAAGGGGAAAACTGAAGTCATCTTTTATAATTACAGGTCGACTTCCCATGCGTCGATTGGTTTACCGAGTTCAACCCTTACCCCAGAGTATGATACCATTAGTTTGGGATTTTGGTCAACTTAGCCCAGACGTGGAAAAACTTTATATCAGGCAGATGGTGATTCGATATGTAAGTTGTATCATCGTTGCACCCCCTCCCTTTAATCCCCTAAGTCTTTTGCAAAATTTATGCTCAAAAGCATCGAAATATCAACTTTGGTCGATGCTGTCAATTTTGACAGGAGTTATCTTTTTTTTTTTACAAATCTTAAATGAAAAACAAGATTTGTTTGTAAAACACAATGCGCCCGGCGGCAACAAAAATCGAAAAAGCTATTTTTAGCATGCAAGCATAGGTAACATTCAAGGTCATTGACCTTGGTGTCATTAGAAAGAACTTGATGAGTGGATTATGCACACCAAATATGAAGTCTCTATCTTTTATGGTTCAAAAATTATGGTGAAAGGTACGAAAAAGCTATTTTTAGCATATAGGTCACAATCATGGTCACTACGTCATTGACCTTGGTGTCAATTGAAAGAATTTTATTAGTGTAGTATGCATACTAAATATGAAGTCTCTATCTTTCATGGTTCAAAAGTTATGGCGAAGGTTTAAGTTTGCAGACAGAAAAGCTATTTTTAGCATATAGGTCACAAGGTCATTCATATTGGTGTCATTTGAAAGCTTCTAATTAGTGAAGTATGCATACCAAATATGAAGTTTCTACCTTTCATGACACAAAAGTTATGGCGAAGGTTAAAGTTTGGGGACAAACAAACAAACAAACAAACAAAGAAACAGACAGACAGTCGGGACAAAAACAATATACGCCTCGGATCTATCGATCCGGGCGCATAATAATACTCTCTTGACTGAGTTTTTATGCGAAATTTTAGATTAATCAAAACAAACTTCCAGTTGGCTTAGAAGATGTTGTAAGCAGTGTTCTGACAGCTTCGCAAGTGTTTATGCGAGAAGAAAAGGTAAAAGGAAATTTCACAGTTTTTGAAATGCATAATTGATTTTTATGATTTTTTTCCTATTTACCGTTTCATTTTTGATTTTAAATGTGATATTATAGGACCAGTGCAGCTTTGTAAGTCTTAGGGATGTAGAACGTGTGCTTGATGTGATGGCCTGGTTTTATTCCCAAAGTCAAACTGAGGAAGATATATTTCGCTTTAAAACGAACGAATTTGATTCTGATTCCAAAACAGACAGCAATGATGACATTGAATTCAAGGTAGGGAGGAAAAAGTTCTTTCTTTACATTAAAAAGTGAACAATTAAGATAACAATTGACCCAACTTATGCTTGTCCCAGCTTTAAAAGACGTTTTAAGTTAGAGTAAGTTTTTAAAATCAATGGCAATACAAAGAATAGAAACAAGAAATTGAAAACTTTGAGATGTGCAGAAAAAAAACATATCGGAATTATTTTATATACTTTTTTTTTGAAAAAAAACATTGCTTCTACTTTGTAAGCGCTCGGTGTGTAATTTGCACATGGCGTAGACTTGATTTCTGAATTGAATCTTTAATCCATTACCATTTTTTCCCGTGATAACATTTGTTAAAAATGTTACACTATATTATGAAACGTTTTACATCAAATATGCCGGAATTCATGCAGTTTCAGAAGTAGTTCCTGTTACCGCTAATTGTCGGGATTTTTTAACCGGAATCGTCTCAAAATTTATAAGAAATGATCACTTTGTAGAAAATTCCTTACAACAAGACATTAACCTGCGATTTATATATGTATTACATAAATAAAGAAATTGTAATATAAAGGAGAAAACATTATATGAAAACAACTTTATTAAAAATTAAAATTTATCTCGACATAAAGTGTACTTGCTTATACCCCGTACGTTTCTAAAGGCTCTCTTGGCCTCTTTGTATTCACTGTGATTATTTATAAATTATTCAATGTTATATCATATTATGTTTTTATCTTTTTTTATTTTTTTTATATCTCGTACATGGTGTTCATGTGAAACAACGCCATCCATAGTAAAACCAAAACTGCATAAATTGAGATTCTGTGAGGCTTGCCCATTATTTTGAAGTCCATTCGTAGATTCACGAAACTGCAAATTCTTGATAAAGAAAAAAACACCAGTGTCTAATCCACATTTTGTCAATTGAAAAGCTACATGTACTCTTAAATGTTTATAACACGCCTTCAACCTTTGAAGCAGCATTCCATGTTTCTACTTAATATAAGGATACCGCTTCTAGTAGTAAACATTAAGAACCCTGACAAGAAAAGACATACTTTATATATATAAAAAACCAACAACACTGTACATGTATAACCTAAATATCGGATATACCAAATAGATACAAGGTCACGGATGGAAATTTATATAAAGCACTAAAAATGACCAACGACACGAACAATAAAAATTGTCAAATTTTCGGGACGCCGTGTCCCTTCCTCAGGACAAAGAAAAAAGTTAAAAAGTCATAAGAACAAAGGAAAAAGAGAATCAAAAACAACTAGCACTACTACTTAACTACTAAACACTAGATATTTACATACTTAGTTACATGTTGAATTGGAAATTTTTAAGAACACTATTCAAGAAAGATATCCGGACCGCTATGAAATGCGTCCGATCTATCGGGTATACTTGGGTGAAGTGCGATTTCCATAATTGAACGAATTAATTATGCTAATTAATTACGACAATCAGTAAATCGTACATTGTTTCATTCTCTCAAAATGGCGTAACTTTACTTAATAAAGAATAATCAAAGAAAAATAAGATGGCAGGGATATTTAAACATATGAATTATGATCCATTATAAATTTTGAAATATTTAAAGAATTATTACCGGGAAAAAATAATTAACAAAGGCGAAAGCAATACATAGTTATGTGGGTTGTTCGAGAGTTGGTGACGCAAATTGACTGTAGAGTTTACACTAAATTGAGAGAATAATCTTGTTTATGTAAATATCTAGTGTTTAGTAGCTTAGTAGTAGTTCTAGTTGTTTTTATTTCTATTTTTCCTTTGTTCTTATGACTTTTTAACTTTTTTCTTTATCCTGAGGAAGGGACAGGGCGTCCCGAAAATTTGACAATTTTTATTGTTCGTGTCGTTGGTCATTTTTAGTGCTTTATATATATATATATATATATATATATATATATATATATATATATATATATATATATATATATATATATATATATATATATATATATACTTACCCATGAAACTATACAACCTATATCTGCTCTTTTTATATAAAAATATTAGTTGGCATTGTCTTTAATTTTATAAATATATTTTGATAAAAAAAACTAAAAGCATCAATTAAGAAATAAGGTATCATTTTTTGAGTTTTATTGAGATGTAAAACGGGTTGGTCACGTGATCAAATCCCATAAAGCCCGAAGGGCTTTATGGAAGATTTGATCATGTGCCTACCCGTTTTACATCTCAATAAAACTCAAAAAATGATACCTTATTTCTTATATTTACATTTGTGACTTATTCATACTTTATATTTGCCTGATTGTTACTTTTAACGTGTGAAATGCGTTAATTTTTCAAACCCAACGGCATGTATGTAATCCACTAAACGCGCGTCAACCATTTATGACGTCACAGAGAAATTACGTCGAACGTTTATCCAAACGCACATCTATGACCTCTTGACCCCATACCTGTATTTACACAGTTATAAAAACGCTTGCCTCCAGTAGTGTTATATAAAGGAAAACATTTGCAAATGTAAATATTGCATGCACAATCATAATTGGATAATTGATAAATGAAGAGGTATGTTGTAATTCAAAACTTGAAATATCTAATTGACATATAAAAGTGCACTCATTCTTTTAAAAGGGTATATCCTTTGATAGTAATATAACTTTCCTATTACATAGCGAAAAACCTAAACTCTCACCCTATGTGAAACTATGGGATCAATTTTTATTGTGTCTTTTTAAAAGTTGAAACGATTTTTATTTTTATGCCCCCGTTAATGAAGTTTCGGGGGTATATAGTTTTTGTCCTGTCCGTCTGTCTGTATGTCTGTCTGTCTGTCTCTCTTTCTGCCTAGCTGTGTGTTTGTCAGCAAAAACTTTAACCTTGCTCATATCATTTGATTTATGAGAGCCATGACTTTTATTTCACATTTGTATTTCCTATGACAAGAAATTTCTTTGGGTACCACCAAATTTTACCTTTAGACCTTGACCTTAGAGTTTGACCCACTTTTACATAAAAAATTTTAACTTTTACCTTGGCCATATCGTTTGAACAGTAGATGCCAGGACATTTTTACTTCACATATATATTCTTTGTTGAAAAAACTTTTATTGGATACCAATATCCTTGACCCTTCGACTTTGATATTGTAGATTTCCGTACTTGTGTAAAACTTTAACGTTGGCCATAACTTTTGAACAGAAAGGGATAAGGATTTAGCACTTCATACATGTAATCCCTGAGAAAAGACACTTCATTGGATACCAAGAACTTTGACCCTTTGATCTTGACCTTTGAGTTTGACTTACTTAAAAAGCAAAAATTGAGCTAATTTTTCAAGGGTTAGGGCTGGTGCTTTCATACTTTTCATATTTAATCCTTGTGACAAGACCTTTCATTTGATATCAATAACTTTGACCCTTTGACCTTGACCTTGGAGTTTTACCTACTTTAAAAAAAATTAACCTTAAACATAACTTCTAACGGTTAGGGCTAGGGCTTTTATGCTCTACATAGGTATTCTATGTGGTAAAACCTTTCATTTGATACCAATAACCTTGACTTACTTTCAAAATTCACAATTTTTTTCCAGAAAAAATACCCTACTTTTGGTGCAAATTAATTGAATTTGCACTTAAGATAAGTTTAATCTTTGCCATGTTGCCATACGGGGGCATCAATGTTTCACAGACACATCTTGTTTCATATGATTATTTTCCAGCCTCTCAACCCAGAAACACTTTCTCTGATAATGGCGATCGGCGTTTGCTATCATGCATGCTTAATGGATCGAAAGTCGTACAGAGACTATGTCAGTGAAAGTTTTCAAGAGCCATGTCAATTATCTGGTGGACCAGACAGGATACTGCATGAAATAAACAGGTGAACATTCACTTTTTTTTAAAGCAATGTAGCTTTACCTAATACAATTTTCCCCATATGTTTAACATTCATGTTATCTTTCAACTCATGGAGTAAAGTAACTTTTTTAAAACAAATTATTTAACAATGAAAATGACCAATGATTTTTTTTCTTTTTTAAATCTGAAAGTTGAAACTGTAGGAGTACGAATATTTTGTTAATTGAAATTATACATTAAAAAATAATCTTGAAATTCATTAAATTTGGCTTTACTCTGATTGATATTCATTGAAAAATTAACACTTATTAATATCCTCTACAACTCTAATAAAAAAGGGAAAAAATAATGATAATTGAAAATTGGCGTTTTTTAGAAAAAATTTTCTAAGACTAAAAATCGCCGTGGGGATCCGGGTTAGAATAGGTCCTCAGGACCCCCTTGCTTCTCGTAAAAGGCGACTAAATGGGGCGGTCTTTCGGGTGAGACCGTATAAACCGAGACCCCGTGTCACAGCAGGTGTGGCACGATAAAGATCCCTCCCTGCTCAAAGGCCGTAAGTGCCGAGCATAGGCCTAAATTTGCAGCCCTTCACCGGCAATGGGACGTTAAACAGTATACAATCAATCAATCTAAAACTAAAAAATAAAAAAGATATAAAAAATCATAAAAAAAAACAAACAAGCTGTCGAAAGCTCAAGTGAGCTTTTCTGATCACATTTTGTCCGGCGTCCGTCTGTATGTCTGTCTGTCTGTCTAGGTGTCCGTCTGTCTGTCTTTAAACTTTTCAAATTTCAACTTCATCTCAAGAACCACTGGGCCAATTTCAACCAAACTTGCCACAAAGCATCCTTGGGTGAAGGGGATTCAAGTTTGTTCAAATGAAGGGAGAAAATTGGGAATTAATTAAAATTTGGTGGTATGTTTTAAAAATCTTCTTCTCCAGAACCACTGTGTCAGGAAAGATGAAACTTATAGGGAAACATCCTCAGGGTGGGTAGAGTCAAGTTTGTTCAAATCTTGATTCCTGGGGGTAGGGCGGGGCCACAAAAACCGATCAGAATTTTACATAGAAATAAATAGGAAAATTCTTTAAAAATTTTCTTCTCAAGAATAGCAAAGCCATAATTGATCATATTCATACGGAAAAATCCCCAGGTAGTGTAAATTCAAGTTTGTGCAAATCATAACCCCCGGGGGTAGGCCGGGGCCACAATGGTTGACCAGAGTTTTACATAGAAAAATAAAGTAAAATTATTTAAAAATCTTCTTCTCAAGAAGAACAATGCCATAATTAATCGTATTTATATGGAAGCATCCTCAGGTAGTGTAGATTCAAATTTGTTCAAATCATGACCCCCCGGGGTTAGGGCGGGGCCACAATGGCCGACCAAAGTTTTACATAGAAATATATAGGAAAATTCTTAAAAATCTTCTTCTCAAGAATAACAAAGCCATAATTGATCATATTTTTATGGAAGCATCCTCATTTAGTTTAGTTTCAAGTTTGTTCAAATCATGACCTCCGGGGGGAGGCCGGGGCCACAATGGCCGACCAAGGTTTTACATAGAAATATATAGGAAAATTCTTTAAAAATCATCTTCTCAAGAATAGCAAAGCCATGATTAGTCATGGGACTACTTTTGGATTTAAAGTTTTCAATAATAAACCAATTTCTACTTTTTCCTAGCCCCCGTTCAGGTGAACGATGTGGCCGATGGGCCTCTTGTTTTTTTTTTTTTTCGAATCAAAAATGTACTATTATGAGGTTATAAAACTTAATACAATATGCAATTCCTAATACATTTTTATAAATTGACATTAAAATGGGTAGAGTGTTATGATATAGAGTGTTTATGATATAGTCATTCCTTGTGTGGACATATAATACAAGTATGTTTTCCTTATGTATGCAAGATGTCAAACAATATTGCTGGGAAACATTGACCTTGGAAAAAATATTGCAAAGAACCAGGCGCTTCAAGAAAACCTTTTTATGATGGTTATCAGCATTGAATTGAGAATTCCACTTTTCCTTGTTGGTAAACCTGGAAGTTCTAAATCAATGGCAAAGACAATTGTAGCTGATGCAATGCAGGGAACGTCGGCTCATTCGCCCTTCTTCAAAAAATTTAAGCAGGTACAATTCCTTATTTTGATATAAATATACGAGAGGTTATCAATTAATTCGTGGACCAGCGCCTTAATTTAATAAAATTGCTTAAGGAAAATCAAGGTTTTTTTTAACATACTTAGTTGGAATCATGGTTTTGTTTACATACTAAGCTATAAATAATACGTTTCTTTATTTTTTTATGAATCGATGATGTCGTTTTCGTAAGAACCTTAAAGATAGCATCTCTTCTATGTGAATGTAGCAGCCTTTTTAGCTCACCTCAACGAAGTTGGGGGAGCTAATGTAATACCCTCAGCGTCTGTGTCGGTGTCCTGGGTTAAGGTTACGTTTTTGGAGCAGTTTTTTCAGTACTTCTATGTCATAAATTGATAAGACATGCATAGAATATGTTTCTAGTGTGTGTCATTTTACCAGTCAAAGTTTCAGATACTGCAATTTCAGTAAGGAATGATCTGGTTACTGTTTTTGGAGCAGGTTAAAATTTTTGGTGCAGTTTTTGGTGTAGGTCTCATTTCTGAGTAACTATAAGCCATATGTAGACCAAACTTGCATTGATGATACATCCAAGAATGCACACTACCAGGCTTGATTCGGATGATACTAGTAAATCTGACCTACATTTTTTGCTTGAGTGAACAGGTTAATGCTTTTGATGCAGGTCTCATTTCTAAGTAACTATGAGCCCTATAATGACCAAACTTGCATGGATGGTACATCTTAGGATGCATGCTGCCCAACTTGATTCGATTGCTGAATTTACTGAATATATGTGATGAGAGTGCACACTACCCTACTTGAATCGGATGCTGATTCTGACGTACATTTTCCGGTTGAGTGAACAGGTTAAAGTTTTTGTTGCAGTTTTCATTTCAAAGATACTTTGAGCCCAATAATTACCAAACTTGCGTGGATGATACATCTACGGATGCACCCCACCAGGCTTGATTCGAATTCTGAATTCTACTACATTTTCCGCATGATTGAACAGGTTAAAGTTTTTGGTGCAGTTTTAATTTCAAAGATACTATGAGCCCTATAATGACCAAACTTTCATGGATGGTACATCTTAGGATGTATACTACCCGACTTGATTCGGATGCTGAATCTGACCTAAATTTTCCGGTTCAGTGAACAGGCTAAAGTTTTTGATACTATTAGCCCTACAAAGACCAAACTTGCATGGATGGTACATCTTGGGATGCATACTTCTAGACTTGTTTCGGATGCTGAATCTGACCTACATTTTCTGGTTGAGTGAACAGGTTATGATTTTGGTGCAGTTTTCAATTACCAGGTCATTGATTTGGAGCAGGTTAACATTTTTAGTGCAGTTTTTGGTGTAGGTCTCACTATCGAGTAACTATAAGCCCTATGTAGACCAAACTTGCATGGATGATACATCTAAGAATCCACACTACCTGACTTGAATCGGATGCTGATTATAACCTACATTTTCTGGTTAAATGAACAGGTTAAGGTTTTTGGTGCAGTTTTCATTTCAAAGATTCTATGAGCCCTATAACGACCAAACTTGCATGGATGATACATCTAAAGACGTACACTACCATGCTTGCTTTGGATGCTGAATCTGACCGACATTTTCTGGTTGAGAGAACAGGTTAAATATTTGGTGCAGTTTTAATTTCAAAGATACTATGAGCCCTATAATGACCAAACTTGCATGGATGGTACATCTTAGGATGAATACTACGCGAATTTATTCGGATGCTGAATCTGACCTATATTATCTGGTTTAGTGAGCAGGTTAAACTTTTTGGTGCACGTTTCATTTCCTTTTTACTATGAGCCCAATATTGACTTAACTTGCGTGGATGTTACATTTTAGGATGCATACTACCGACTTGCTTCGGATGCTGAATCTGAGGTATATTTTTCAGTTGAGTGAACAGGTTAATATTTTTGGTGCAGAATTCATTTCCAAGTAAGCTCTTCAATAACTAAAAGTGCATGGATTATAAATCTAATGGTGTATTCTACCAGGCTGGCTTCAGATACAGGTATAATTTCTTAGTTACTATGAGCCCTATAATAACTAAACTTGCATGGATGTTACATCGTAGGATGCACACTAATGTTTAGATTCTGAATTCGACATACATTTTCCAGATAATGGACCTGGTTAAAGTTATGGGTGCAGGTCTATTACCAAGAAACTATAAGGCTGATATAAACCAAACTTGCACAAATGATGCATCAAGGGATGCAAACTCTCAAAGTTGCTTCAGATGCTGGATATTAATTACGTTTCCAGTTTTTATATAGGCCTATTCCAAAGCATCAAATCAACATTGCATAAATTTTTCATTTTTGGATGTACACTTTTTGTTGGTTAATTTGTGACTTTGCCTTACTTAAAGACAACATTCATTGAGGTGAGCTCTGTAATCTCTGATTACCTATGTTTGAAAGGAGTATTTTTTATTAAAAAAATACCGTTATTTCACTCACGTGAAAGGAAACAATAATTCCAAAATATTCGTATTTTAAGTTGTTGATTCTTAGAATTGTTATTGTAAATTTTAAATGAACAAGAGGTACTGTGAGCAATGAGCTCACTAAATGATACCCCCGCCACCCATATGACTATAATTGCAAAGTCCATGATTTGCCGTGGGTGGGAAATCCAAATTATGTATCGGATCAAAAAGTAAAATAGGAGGTGCACAATGGCAATATGTAATAAAGATTCGGTGCAGGTTTCAATAAATTTCAGTCAGTGGTATAAGAGGAGTTGCGGATAAGAGATGGGTACCCTAAAGCGTAACAGACAGACGGACGTGCAGACGAACCTACAGACGGTCGGACATACCAATTACAGTATACCCTCCCACTTTTCATACGGGGGGTGGGGTTTAATATCTCAATGCGTAAGTGCAACGCTCTGTAATGACATCTGTTGAGTCACGTTTTGTCCGCCGTCACATTATGTCCGCCGTCACGAAATGTCCGCCATTTTTTCAGAAAAATCGTCACGTTATGTCCGCCGTCACGAAATGTCCGCCTCTTTTTTCGGAAAAATTGTCACACTATGTCCGCCGTCACGAAATGTCCGCCATTTTTTCAGAAAAATTGTCACACTATGTCCGCCGCCACGAAATGTCCACCTCTTTTTCGGAAAAATCGTCACACTATGTCCGCCGCCACGGTAGATTCTAAATTGTTCAAGTAATGACCCCCGGGGGAAGGGCGGGGCCACAATCGGGAATCAAAATTTTATATAGAAATATATAGGAAAAATCTTTGAAAATCTTCTTCTCAAGAACCACTGGGCCAGAAAAAGTGAAGCTTATGTGGAAGCATTCTGGGGTAGTGTAAATTCTAAATTGTAGGTATCATGACCCCCGGGGGAAGGGCGGTGCCATTATAGGGGAATCAAAGTTTTACAAAGAAATATATAGGAAAAATCTTTGAAATCTTCTTCTCAGGAACCACTGGGTCAAAAAAGCTGAAACATATGTGCCCATGGAAGGATCATGGGGTAGTGTAGATATCAAAATGTCTAAATTATGATCAGTGGGGGTAGGGTAGGGATGCATTATATATAACAAGGGGGAAATCTGGTAAAGAACAGAATGGTCAAAGCTTCTCAGGTGAGCGATGTGGCCCATGGGCCTCTTGTTTATTTGTAAAATAATTGATTCACTGTATAGTATTAAAACTGTGAATGGAATTCTAAATTAATAATTTAATCTCATGTGCTCATGTAACGAAGAAAGACTAATAAAAATAACAAAAGTACATATATTTATTTTTATTAGTTATTCTTTTTTGCAAAGTGTGTAAAAAACAATATCAGAGAGAGAGAGAGAGAGGGGGGGAGGGAGGTAGAGAGACTCATGAAACCCCGTGTAACTGACAAACATGTATATCTGTGAAAAAAATATATGTACCGTAATTATATTAAATTCACAATTAATAATTCTAATAATTTTTCATTTCCACAACTTTGGTTCATATCCAATTGTCCAACCCATTTACACATTCGTTCTCTGTACTTGTACGCACGAAACCCTCGTGCATCATCTCAGTGTCAATCAAATTCGCATGAAAGTTGATTTGAAACATTCTTATGGAATTGAATGAGGATAATTTTAAACCAAATCTTATGTATTTAAAACTTTTATTTTGAATTCAAACTTGTGTATTCTTTATTAAAAACTTGGATTTTTGACCATGCGCCGTAGGACACTACCCCGTGCACATTCAAGCATAATAAAATCTTTATTTTTGCCTATATTTTTATGAAAAAAGTTATTATGCACTTGAATATTATAAATAAACAATTACTGAAATTTTCAGCTTAGTGCGCCTATTACTTTTTGAGAAAAACGCTTTGTCCACGATTTTACGGGACAACCCTCGTATTATGCATATTTTGTCATTTGTACAAGTTTGTACAAAGTTAGGATCATGGTAAACAAAAGCTTTGAAATGAATGACCGTTTTCTATAATTTACTATAGAAAATAACAAATGTCGGCCCACCCCTGCCACATTCTATGGTTTTGTTCTTGGTATATTGGTAAATTTCAGCGGTAGAATTTGTTGAATCGTACGGTTTAGTTATCAATAAATGATTTGGGATGAAAATTTTTGCTTTATTTGTTAATTTTTTCACATTTTACCGGGGCCCATAAGTGCACTCTTTTACACGTGAATTCTTTTATTCTGTTTTTATTACCGAAAAGCACTACCTGAAAAATGTTGGATAGCATTTCTTGAAAAATGTTCGAGATGAAAACTTAATATTGTTGGAAGTGAAACCTAAAAATGTCGCAAATGAAAAGTTGAAAATTTAAAACATTCCGGATATGCAATGCTATGTCACAATTCATCTTCATTACCCTTTAATTAATCTTATTTTATATGCATGTGAGTTTTTTTCTTTATAGTCTAGTCATTCTACTGAAAAATGAGAACTAATTGCAACAGTTTATATTTTAATGCAGATTTGTAAATAAGCTATTAGTAACTCACATATAA